CAAGACCACCTATACGTTGCTGTCCCATGGTTGAACGCAGCTTTGGATAAACTTGGCTCAGCAGAGGAAACTGACTGCATTAATAACCGTAAGCGGGAGCGCACCGAAGTGAGAGCCGATACATGCGCTGCAGCTTTATATGCTCAGACTCTGCTCGTATTTGTACGAGGTTCTGATGCTGCCAGTGTGTAACGACTGTTCCTGCCTGCTGTCCCTACATAATTTTACTATCTGTGAATGTGTGGATGTGCGCCTGCCGTGCGCATCCACGCGCCATGAGACCGTTTCCTCAGTGCCTTTCTTTTGGCCTCCTGTTCCTGCTGGGCTCACGTTTGGGGATTTTAACAGTGTTATTATCTCACCTGCTCTCTGACAGCAGCAGGTATGTTATGTGAGTGGAGTCTTTCAGTATTTAAATCCGTTACTCTAGTAAAAGTAACTAATACCACTCTGTGAAAATACTCTGTTACAAGTCAACGTCCTGCATTTGAAATATTACCTCAGTAAAAATATTTGAACAACAAAACAGAGATAAAGATCTACTAGAGACAGAAGATTCAACTGTTTGAGTCAACATTTTATTCACAGACAAATGGGTGAAATAAATAAATAGAGGGGGGGTGATTCTTGTCATAGTAACTACTGTAATCACCTTCATTATTGTAACAACTGAACACACAATACATTTACATCAGTCACTCTCAGTTAAATACATAAGTTAGAATCAATAATTGACATACTGTATTACATAGCTTGCATTAGTGTGGTTTCTAATTTCAGTTATAGGCCTATTTCAGTTGGTGAAGTTTTGATTCTTCATAACTTTAGCAAAGGAAATGTTCTTCTCCCAAAGGCACGTCTCCTGACGTTGATGAGAAATAGGCTGTTTCTCTGTACAAATCATCTTTAGTGTGATCAACCAGGTCAAGTAGAAAATAAGTGGTGTTACAAATCAAAAGCAGCTGATAAGAGTAAAAACACAATCACAAATATAAAAATAAGAAAACATTCTACAGTAAGTTGCATATTGACATCATAAACATCATTAAAAAAACAGTTTCCAGTGTTGTATTGCTTTGGTTTAGGAACAGAAAGAGCAGCGAGCTGAGTCACTGTAGGTTAAGACAAACTGAAAATGAGCTGTGATGGTATCTGTGTGACTTGGTGCTCTGTATGAGTTCAGTGCAGTTTCTGACTGTGTCTCTATTTGAAAATAACACAATTCAAAATCATCCTGAACCTTTAAATATTGTTTGGAGTGTCTTTCTGCAAAAATATGAAATTTGAAATAGAAGTTAATCTGGAGCAGAAAGCTGAAACTCCCTGATGGACGAGTAAATTCCTGAGAAGATCTCCCTCCTGCTTCCCTTTGACAATAACAAGATGATTTTACAGTACATCACATTTTTGAGACGTGGTATCTGCTTCGTATCCCATGAAGCAATGCAGTGGATCCACAAAGTAATTTGGTGGTCTGTTCCAAAATGTAAAGCTTGGTGTTCTTCATCACAGTTGCGCTGATCTTTACATCGCACAGAGAACTTTAATTTCATCCTGTCACTGAAGAGTGCTGGTAAATTTAGGTTGACTTTAAAATTTGGTTCCTACAACAATTTGTGTTTGATATAACAAATGATCTAACTTCATAGTTTGTTCGACTCAGTAACTTATATCATAAAATAGAAATAGAGGTCTTCAGTTCAGTCAATGAAATACTGGTTAAATCTCACACTTAATGCAAATAACCACAAGGAGGGATTACAACAAACACGCGTGGATGAGGGAAAGTTATTGGTTTGTCAGTGCTCCACAGAAAGCTGTTGAAAGAAGTTAAGGAGCGTGACAGGAAGTGATGTCATCATGCCTACCAGCTAATTTGGCAATTTTACGGTCAGTTGGGATGGCTTTGCTGATGGCTGGCAGGTGTTTCCTCTTGGTCCACAGTTTGGTGCAGACAGGTCACTGTGAAGGTCAAAGCAGGTGAGGACATGTTGAATGAAGCATTGGCAGCTTGTGTCCACGCCGGATGAACAACAGCTCATTTGGTCGTTTCAAAGTCAGACGTCGGTCTCGTTCGTTATGCTCAGACACATGTTGATCTCAGAGGTTAGTCTCGTCCCAGGTTGGGTCGTTCATGCTCTTTAGGACTCTCCTGACAATCCTCTCCAGCTCTTTCCTCGCTCGCTGCTCCTCCTCCAGTGTCCTCTTCATCCTCTTGTTGTCCTGGAGACGTGAGACAAAGACAGAAGACAGAGGAGAGGAGGATGAAAGGATAAAGAGCACCAGTATGAAAAAAACAAATATCAAAACTGATAAGGAGAAGTCCCAGTTAGTAACACCTTTTATAAACTACAGACTCACCTGTTTGAGTTCCTGGACCTCATCTTTCAGGCTGTACACAGTGTCAACCAGACTCCTGCAAGAACACATCAGCTTTACTGTATCACACCCTGACTGCAGCTTCATTCACACAATGTCTCATTTCATATATTGCATGTTTTGTATTTTTGCTATGTTCTACGTTGCACTTTGACACTTGGCAACCCTTTCTATATTTGTGCTAGAGCTGCTGCAGCAACTCTTCTTCCCCATAGGGGCCACTGTCACAGCCTCACTTACCTCCATTAACACACATTAAGCACACCTTTCCCCTGTCGTCTCTCACCTCTCCTCCACCACAGTTTGTCCGTTGCTCCTGGTCTCCTCCACTATGATCTTCTCCTCGTCTGGGAACAACATGTGTACATCCTTCCTGCTGGACCCTGATTGAACAGTGAAAACAGTGTAAGTTTTAAAACTTTGCGCATACACGTGCACACAAACATACATTTTAACTTCAAAGGGGACGACATCATAGATAGGCTTGGACACTGATGGGGTTCCAGGTTGCAGTTACAACACATCCAGCCATTAAACAGACTGTACTATGGGGCTCATACAGGCTCATACACTAAGACAAATACTTGACACACAGCAGGTCAAAGGCTGGGAAGATACACAGTTATATACATCTATCCTAAGTTGTATCTAGCCAGCTCACTAGCATGTCTATTGTTCGGACACCGATATCTTACGAGAAAATGAGGCAGTCCTGTAACTATGTGCGGTCCAGAGACTGTCATAATCCGAGTCCTCTGACTGGTCGGAACACGGCAGGTTGCCGGGGAAACCAGCGATGGTGAGGCTGGTGTCAGCAAGCACATGGTTGTGCATGAGGTCGGTCCCTTGCCAGGCTGTACCATAACGTAACCAGTAATAGACAGGGTTGGAACAAACCAAATTGAATGTGGGGGGAATGAATGGAGGAGTATAAACCATATCGGATAAAGGATGATGGGACATTTGAAATAAAATTAAAACAATTTGTGTGGGAAAAATCATGTCAAATTCAAGAAAGCAAGGGTAAGACATCATTCAGAATAAACGAAGGACAATGAAACCAAACATATGGATAAAGGAGTTAATGAAAGAAATATTTGGAGGGTAGTAGGAAAGACATAAAAAGAGAGAGAAGAGAAAACATTGTTAGAGCTGACAGCAGAGAACAAACAGTGGTTAGCAATGAGACAGTGCGTGAGCATGTATGTGAGTACGAGGATGTGTGTGTGCACTCACTGGAGTTGAGAGTCTGTCGTGTCTTGGCGCTGGTACAATAGGCCTCGATCACTTTCAGTATCTCAGCGTCCTCCTCTAGAGCCGC